ATTGACTTTATACATGTGTTTGCTAATACAACTTGTTGTAAACTTGTCTAAATTATTTTTGTTTATTTCCTTCCCATTAGGTGTGGAATATTTCACCTATTTTCATAGTATACTTTTGAGCATAATTTTATTCCTGCGAGGATTTTCCACATTCATCATTTTGCCTGTTTGGCATGCAACAGAACCTACGAGGAACTAAAATTGTAACCTTCGCAAGGCGCGCCGCCTCACGTTCTGTTTCAGGTCGAGACAACCCAAAACTTCAGCACGGCACAAAATTTATTCCAAGGTGGATTCTAGTTGCTCTTAATTAAATTGAAATTGTTCTAATTAAATTGAAATTTCTCCACTCGCAAGGCGGGTCACCTCAACGTTCTGTTTCAAGTCGTGTCAACTCGAAACTTCAGCACGTGAAGAAATATTTCAACTCAAATTTAAACAATTACATGCGAAAAAAGTAATTTGATTTTTGATGAGATACACTACACAAAATGGTCAGGAAGACGGAGGAGATTGACTTGTGACTTCAATATATCCGCTGTCAGTGTACAAAGTCTATACATAAGTGTACAAAACCGCCTATTCCCTTGCTAGGGAAGGTATATATATATATATATATATATATATATATATATATATATATATATATATATATATATATATATATAATATATATATACCTACATATATACCTAATTTTACACTGAAAACATGCCCTTATTATAGCATAATTTAAGCAATAAATTCTCAGATTAAACCGAAAAAATTATTTGTCATATACACTGTAGTTCACCTTAAGATGTTTTCTGATATAAAGGTCTAGGGTGGAATTCTTGAATTCTACCTATAAATATTAATATGAATTTTTACCATAAATAACAGCTGCACTGAAATTGCATTAATCTATTCAAACACTGATCATGCACGATTAAATTACATTTCTGTATATTTTGAAAAAAATAGGTATTCTAGTATTATATTAACAAATTTCACATGGTGTTTTACAGAAAGGTGACTTAGGAGAACTGTTAAGACTGAAGAGTTTCAACATATCAAGAACGCATTACATGCAAAATAGCACCGAACATAGCGCTGTTGTTGATCAAAGCCACATTTTTCACATTCCAACCACGCAATGAAATATGCTTCAGCTTGCTCTAGTCTCGATTTGTGCAAACAAACTAACACGCAATATAGTTTAACGTGGAAAATTCGATGGTAGTAATTTAGTCTCAAATCCTTTATAATCTCAAAGTAACTATATGGCAATTTAAGAGTCAGAAATGTGATAAATGTAGAAATGAACATAGGATTATTGATAATAGGCCATGAGATTATTTAAGTGTTGGCTCACGAAATTTGAAATCACTCTGTTCATGTCAGCACGCGACGGCGTACATAATCAATGCGCTTTGCCGGCAACATGATGCTCGTTTATACGTGTACAATTTACTACCCATGCAGAGGAACTCAAAGTCACGCAAGAATTATACGACCTTGTAATGCACATATACTGTATATAATATCGTACATATATTAATGTACATCTAGATTCAGATTCCGCAACAATGAAACCTTGTGTAAATATTAGTATATATCAAACAAAATAAGTAGCGCTTACCTGTGAAATAGGTTAATAATGATACAAATTCAACATTGCTTTTGACCCAAACGGAGCGCGAAAATGACAAGCCTGATCGCTTCGTTCTTTTATTCGTTGTAACTTGTAACCACAGTGTTCTAACTCGACGCCAAAAATACGCATTCGCTGATTGGTGCGCATACAACACGTGAACACAGATAAGTTAAGTCATTGTGTTCAAAATTATTTGCGCCCCGCCGCGAGAAATGTTGATTGCATGGCCCAAAGTAAAATCATGCACGCAACCTGACCAACCTCGCACTCTCCTCAAGAGGATCTTTGGCAGTTAGTCTAGTATTTTTTTTTGGAATCATCAATGTTGCCCGAGTGCTCACAAAAGAAACAACTGCCTACATTTTTAATAGTATATGATACGGCCAGTAGGCGGAAATAAGCCCTTAGGTGTTCGTATCTAAGGTTTCTTGTGCTAAGTTCAAACTGTGGTTCAAAACATGTTCAAAATAACAAGGTCACGCCGGATTATTAGCGTATCACGATCACAAATTTGGTGGTTTCAGTGACTCTTTTTGGCCATGAATAGGCAATAATAGGACAAAAATACAAAATAAAACGAAATAGGAGACGTTTTAACCAATCTGCATGAGCTTAACTATCTCCGCGGCATCATATAAACTGACAGATACCGGCAACACGCAACATTGATTAAAGAATTGGAACCAGCCACATTTTGCATGTCCAATGGCAATTTATACCTTGTACGTTAATTTGGGAATGCAACTTAGTGTTCTATGTTTTCGAACCGGAGTCGCTTATAAGTGAGTGGTTTGAAATCTATAAACCAAAGCCACAAGCCATAAATGCCTTATAATTGTAGCATCTGTGGATCATTTTTTGCGAAAGCACATATCAAACGTATTCATACGAATGTCGAAGACATTGATGTCGCTAACAGCCTAACACTGAGGAAGCTGGCGACGCCACCACATTTAATAACAATGATTTTCCCGACGAAGATGCCAGTCATCAATTCATTCGACGGCCACAGATTTATGTGCTTGATGTATGAAATTAATCGGTAAAATTTCAATCGTATACTCGCGAAGAGACTCTGCGTTTTTCTGCCACTCCATGCGTCGCCGCCATCTTGAAAAATTGAAGGGTAACTAAGGGGTAAGTTTTACCCCGTAAAAATTTACCCCCGAATATACACCGCGTAACATTACCCGCAAAACCGGTGTAATTTTTACCCCTCTTTAAATTACCCCTCCGTATTCAACGATTCCGCTACTAACTACCCTGCATTGTGGAGTAATTTCTATCCCAAAATCAATTACTCCTTTCAAGGGAGTAATTTTTGACCTTCAAAAGGGTAATTTTTTTACTCCCTGAAATTTACAGTCATATAGGTATTTTCTTTTTTCCAAAATCATCAATGTTGCCCGAGTGCTTACAAAAAAAAAACAACTGCCTACATTTTAATAGTATATGATACGGCCAGTGGGCGGAAATAAACCCTTAGGTCTTCGTTTCTAAGGTTTCTTGTGATAAGTTCAAAATAACAAGGTCACGATTATAAGCGTGTCACGCGATCACAAATTTGGTTGTTTTAGGGACTCTTTTGGGGGCATGAATAGGCAATAATAGAACAAAGTACAACGAAATAGGAGACCTTTTAACCAATATGCACGAGCTTTACTATCTCCGCGGCATCAAAACTGACAGATACCGGCAACACGCAACGTTGATTAATGAATTGAAACCAGCCGCATGTTGCATGCCCAATGGCAATTTATACCTTATACGATAATTTGGGAATGAAACTTAGTGTTCTATGTTTTCGTACCGGAGTCGTTTATAAGCGAGTGGTGTGAAATCTATAAACCAAAGGCACAAGCCATATAAATGTATTATAATTATTGCATCTGTGGATCATTTTTTCGGCGAAAGCACATCAAACGTATTCAGACGAATGTCGAAAACATTGACGACGCTAACACTGAGGAAACTGGCGACGCCAACACATTTAATAACAATGATTTGCCCCATGAAGACGCCAGTCATCAATTCATTCGATGGCCACAAATTTATGTGCTTGATGTATGAAATTAATCGGTTAAATTTCAATCGTATACTCGCGAAGAGACTCTGCGGGTCTCTGTCACTCCATGCGTCGCCGCCATCTTGAAAAATTGAAGGGTAACTAAGGGGTAAGTTTTACCCCGTAAAAATTTACCCCCGAATATACACCGCGTAACATTACCCGCAAAACCAGTGTAATTTTTACCCCTCTTTCGGTTTATGCGCGATATACCAAGTCACGGGTGACGTCACAAGTCAAGCGTGACGTCACACCAATAGGAGATAATGGAATTATATCATTTCGTTTTGTTCTTTGTTTTTTAAATAATACTAGTTTTAGCTACCTATTTGTTTTGGATCGTCAGGCTTTTTGGCTGGTGCATTTGGATCGTTTCCTTTTTGTAAGATCATTTGGATCATTTGCTTTTTGTAGATCATTTGGATCATTTGCTTTTTGTAGATCATTTGGATCATTTGGTGGATCATTTGGATCATTTGCTTTTTGTGGATCATTTGGATCATTTGCTTTTTGTGGATCATTTGGATCATTTGCTTTTTGTGGATCATTTGGATCATTTGCTTTTTGTGGATCATTTTAGATCATTTGCTTTTTGTAGATCATTTGGATCATTTGCTTTTTGTAGATCATTTGGATCATTTGCTTTTTGTGGATCATTTGGATCATTTGCTTTTTGTGGATTATTTGGATCATTTGCTTTTTGTGGATCATTTGGATCATTTGCTTTTTGTGGATCATTTGGATCATTTGCTTTTTGTGGATCATTTGGATCATTTGCTTTTTGTGGATCATTTGGATCATTTGCTTTTTGTGGATCATTTGGATCATTTGCTTTTTGTGGATCATTTGGATCATTTGCTTTTTGTGGATCATTTGGATCATTTGCTTTTTGGATCATTTGGATCATTTGCTTTTTGTGGATCATTTGGATCATTTGCAATTCAATCCGCCAGGCGCCAGAACAAAAATCAAACTTGCGCGTACGGCGCAACCAGCATTATATAAACAATTAGTCATCTGTAGGTACTATTGCGGTGCAGGGGACGTTTAAGCGATAAATAGTACTGTATTATTTAAAATAAAGCTTTTGATATAAACGTTTAGTTGCTTTCTTGCGATATACGAAATCCATGCGGCTGGTGGTCCGTTATTTAGAAATAGACCTAAGTACATGTGTTCGAAGCTTTCAACACGACACTGAGACTGAAAGACCTGAAAATATAGCTAAACTACAAATTTAACGAACAGAAAATATTTGCGTAGCAGCGTTAGACTAGGAAGCTATTTTGGTTGGTTTAAAACAAACGAGCGTAGTCAGCGTCTATGAGGATGATTGTGTGACATATTTGCAGCCTTGCAGTGTTTCCGTGTGTGAGCGACAGTGTCGAAACAACATGCTGCGCACATTTAACAAAATACAGCAATTTTGATTTTTATCAAGTTTTTGAAGCTAAATTAAACGATATGTATATGATTACAATGCGCGCATTATGTATTACGGCTGAAAAGTGTAGAGGTATCATATTCTGTCAAAATAACAGCGGCTAGCGCGCTCGGTTGGCAAATAGCCCGACATCGCACAAATCATTTCGGTTTTCAATCGCAAAATCCCAAATCGTAGCAATTTATGGAATATTTCCGAACGCCACATAAACATGAAATGTTTGTCTATCTTTAAGGGCCACGAACATATACTAGGAGATAAAATAGAAAAATTTGAGGCTCGAGCGTTGGCCACCGACAGCGTAGAATTTATAGCTCAATCAATATGTTTGTATCAGACATATGCAATCGACATAGTTACATTCGCGACGTTCATGATAGGGACTATCACACTTCCAAAGCTAATAAACCTATATCCTATAACTTAAGACATTTTATCATCAAACAATACATCTATAGACTTATTAGACTATACGAAACGGAAACATTTCAGTACTTGTTATACTATATAGATAACAGCAAGATAAGAAAACAGCATGTATTTTACTTTATTACTGCATGGAGATTTGTTGCGTTAAATTTTCCTGTATTTATCTAGCGCATAAATGGAAAAAAGTACGAAAAAAATATTAAAAATAAAAATAATATTTTCGTGAAAAAAATGCGTTTTCGGCACATTTTATGACCCACGACTTTACCAACGACTTTACCCACGACTTTACTCACGACACACGACTTTTAACCCACGACACACGACATATAGGGACACTCCTTCGATTATATAGGATCACTATTCAAACTAGAATAACTATAGATGTATAAATCTTCAAACTAGAATAACTATAGATGATGTTGAAATTATGTTAGCCTAATACACTTACATTCCTTGACGCAGTTCTTGCTACATAACACACCAAAATCCACCCGAAATGTTGACCACATGCAACAGGGATAGATACAACCATTATATACAATCGGAAAAGATTTTATTGAATAATTGAATTAATATCTAAAGTATTTAAGCGAGCCTTTTGTGAAACAGAACATTATGTATACACAGTGTATGGCGCAAACACGTGGAAGTTGGATATGATTTGACCATAATATACCTTTAAATAATTCAATAACCCATAATTTCAACATCTATAGTTATTCTAATTTGAATAGTGATCCTATATAATCGAAGAGATCTTTTGAAACACCGGATTTATGAAATAGTACAACAGGAATTTGAATCTGTTTTCTGACTTCGTTAATGATTCGTGGATCATGGGAAACGCACAAATACACAGACGCACAAATACACAGACGGATCACACAAATACACAGACGAAACCAGGAGAACACGCTCTTGAATACAAAATAAGTTCTCTGGATTGTTCCTATCGTTGCTACCATCTTTCCATTTCCAGTGCCTTAGTGCAGAGTGACAATTGGGGCATGTTATTTGACCAAAGTTGTTTGTATGAAACAGTGGGTTCCACAAGATGACTGAAGGAATAACGTTGTTTATCCAGTTATGTTGGAAAAAAAAGGGCTACCTTCTGGGCAAATAAGAACTTGCGTTTCGTCTGGCTTTTTCTCGCAATTCTCAATGCATAACTTGATAAAATTTAACCCACGACTTTACTATGGGACCAGCACACGGCAAATTTGACAAATAGCATGTTAAAAAACTGATAAAAACCTCCCACAAACAACAAGTCACTTTTGTTGCCATATTCGAATGACATCTAAAGCATGACTTAGTCGCGAGTGTATCACATGCAGGTGTGATTAAGAATCCAATACATAACTATTGTGTTTCGACACTGTCGCTCACACACGGAAACACTGCGGCAAGGCTGCACATATGTCATCCTCATAGACGCTAACTACGCTCGTTTGTTTGAAACCAACGAAAATAGCTTGCTAGCCTAACAATATTTTCAAGTCTTTCAGTCTCAGTGTCGTGTTGAAAGCTTCGAACACATGTAATTAGATCTATTTCTAAACAAATTAACGGACCACCAGCCTGGATTTTGTATATCGCAAGAAAGCAACTAAACGTTTATATCAAAAGTTTTATTTTAAATAATACAGTACTATTTATCGCTTAAACGTCCCCTGCACCGCAATAGTACCTACAGATGACTGATTGTTTATATAATGCTGGTTGCGCCGTACGCGCAAGTTTGATTTTTGTTCTGGCGCCTGGCGGATTGAATTGCAAATGATCCAAATGATCCACAAAAAGCAAATGATCCAAATGATCCACAAAAAGCAAATGATCCAAATGATCCACAAAAAGCAAATGATCCAAATGATCCACAAAAAGCAAATGATCCAAATGATCCACAAAAAGCAAATGATCCAAATGATCTACAAAAAGCAAATGATCCAAATGATCCACAAAAAGCAAATGATCCAAATGATCCACAAAAAGCAAATGATCCAAATGATCCACAAAAAGCAAATGATCCAAATGATCTACAAAAAGCAAATGATCCAAATGATCTACAAAAAGCAAATGATCCAAATGATCCACAAAAAGCAAATGATCTAAATGATCCACAAAAAGCAAATGATCCAAATGATCTACAAAAAGGAAACGATCCAAATGCACCAGCCAAAAAGCAAAAGATCCGAATGATCTTACAAAAAGGAAACGATCCAAATGCACCGGCCAAAAAGCCTGACGATCCAAAACAAATAGGTAGCTAAAACTAGTATTATTTAAAAAACAAAGAACAAAGTAAAATGATATAATTCCATTATTTGCTATTGGTGTGACGTCACTCTTGACTTGTGACGTCACCCGTGACTTGGTATATCGCGCATAAACCCCTCTTTCAATTACCCCTCAATTACCCCTCCGTATTCAACGATTTGGCTACTAACTACCCTGCATTATGGAGTAAATTCTACCCTAAAATCAGTTACTCCTTTCAAGAGAGTAATTTTTGACCTTCAAAGGGGTAATTTTTACTCCCTGAAATTTACAGTGCAGGCAGTTTCTAAAACATATAAACGTTGCGAAATCTACTGGTCTGGACAATCTTCCGGGTAAACTACTAAAAATTGCAGCTGATATTTTAGCACCTTCCTTAACCAAACTATTCAACAAATCACTATCCACGGGCATCTATCCTAGTGATTGGAAATTGGCCAGGGTTGTTCCTATATTTAAAAATGGTGACAAATCAGATTTGAATAATTATCGTCCAATCTCCATAATCTCAAGTGTTGCAAAAGTTTTCGAAAAAATCGTATGTGATCAATTTTACGAGTACTTGTCAGTGAATGATCTATTCTCGCATCAACAATCGGGATTTCGACCTACTTACAGCACTGTAACGGCTCTACTCGAATCGACAAATGACTGTGCGTAAATATCGACAATGGTCTGGTAAATGGAGTTATTTTCATTGACGTAAAGAAGGCCTTTGATACTATTGATCACGAAATTCTCATAAATAAACTTGAATGCTATGGAGTTGATTGCAGTGCTCTAGGCTGGTTTAAATCTTATCTGTCTGATCGTAAGCAAAGGTGCTTCGTGAATGATACACTATCCAGTAGCCGTTCTTATACTTATGGTGTTCCGCAAGGGTCAATAATTGGACCTCTCTTGTTTCTGGTCTATATTAATGATTTGCCAAATTGTATGAATGACGGTTTAGCAAGAATGTATGCCGATGATACTAACATAACTTTTGATAGGCATGATCTTTCTGAGTTGGAAGACGCAATAAATGCGGAATTGATCAATCTAAATACCTGGCTACAATCCAATAAATTACAATAAGTCTTAATATTGCAAAAACCGAACTTATGGTCATTGGCTCCCGTCAGAGACTTGCAACCTTCAGTGAAACCAACGCTTTAAATGTCTTTGTAGACAACGAAAAGATCAAAAAAGTTCAATTTAATCTACAAAGTCGTTAGGTCTAACAATCGACGAGCACTTAACTTGGAAAAACCATATCAATAATATTACCAAAAAAATTTCGTCCGGTATTAGTGCTCTTAAGCGCGTAAGACCTTTCATCAATAGAGAAACGGCTGTGAAGGCATACAGGGGCCTAGTCGAGCCCTATTTTACTTATTGCTCTCCAGTTTGGGATGGTATTGGTTTAAAACTGGGTGAGAAACTACAAAAGCCGCAAAATCGTGCGGCTAGAGTAATGACCAGGTCCTCGTATGAAGTTTCGTCAGCATCCCTACCAGGG